GGCTGGGGATTCGAACCCACCACCTTAGGTGTATGTAGCTGGCGCCTTAGCTGCTTGAGCCACAGGCGCCGAGGCAGGATATATATTTTTTATTTGGGAGATTAGCTTCCAAAATAATATTAGTCAAAAGCTAAAGGTAACCTGAACTGTATTAAAGGCAACTTCATTAAAAAAAAACAAACCCATTAATGTCTCATTTAATGCATATAATCTAAAACTCAAATTTTACCCACCAGATCTCTCACGTTTCTTCTGATTTATATATTCTCCAATTCCAAAATCTAGTTTCAGCAGAACTGACTTGATTTTGCTGTATATTTTTTGTCCAATATCATTACATTTAAACAGTGGACACAGAAATGCGCACAGTACTGAAACAGAAAGAGGAAGAGAATAGAGGTGAACGCCCTTCCTTCTAAAAGGCTACATCTTAGCATTTCTTGAAATACTATGATCCCTTACTGAAAAAACTGAAGTTTTGTTTTTTCAGGGAAATGCCTCTGTAAAATAAATTAATTCTATTCTTTCCCATAAACATTTTCTACTACGCACGCACACAGACACATACCCCTTGCTCATAGTTATTTATAGACTTGCAATTAGATCAACTTTCTCCCCTCAAAACTTATAGAAAGATTACATGCTTTACAGACAATAATCCTAGATTAGAATTTCAACTGTATTTATTAAATGTCATTTTACCATGGGAAAGTTGTTGTCTCATTAGCTTCTCATCAGTAATGTTAGGATAATAACGTTATTTCTTGGGGTTGTTGTAAAGTATCAATGAGATTAATGCAAGCCATCTAAATAATACCTTGCCCAAATTAGACTGTCATTCCCCAGCCCTCTTTTCCTTTAACTCCTAAACAATGTAAACCAAAGGCCTGATGTACATTGTACATGAGTTCTAGCTGGGAGACTGGAGTTTAGCTTCAACCACTTGCCATTTATATCATGCCTTAGGGACACAAACAGAAATGCAGATGGTCACACTGCACACACTAGATTCCTACTGTTTACTCCTTTGTTGTTGTTGTTAGGAAATGTCCCCTATTTCCTTTTTAAAATAGAAATTGCAAACTCAAATATCTCTAGAGGCCAAGAGATGCCTGTTCTGGGCATTTTAATTTTAAAAGCCAGTATAAGAAAAATAAAAAAATTTGAGGAGTAGTTAAGTGGAGAGTTGCTTCCCCATCAAAAGGTTCTGATGTCAGATCTTCATATTTTGTAGAAGCAGCAGAAATCCCATACTTTTTAAACATTTGTATAGCTGACATACAATGAATTGTGTATGTAAAGTGTTAACAGTACAGTAAGTTTTGACACATATATACAACTAAGCATCACCACCATCTAGATAGTGAACATATTTGCCACCCCAGAAGTTTCCTCATGTTTTTAGTCCGTCCTTCCTCTCCTTACACCCACCCAGCTCATCCCCAGGTAACCACTGGCCTGCTTTGTCATTAAAGATTACTTGGAATTAATATATAATTCTATTTTCTAGAATATATATATATTCTTCCACTCATCTTAACTATTTGGGCATTTATCCATAATGTTGCAGGTACTAATTTTTAGTGTTGAGCAGTAATCCACCATTATATGGATATGCTACAGTTTATCCACTCATCTGTTGGTGAACGTGTGGTCTGTATTCTGCTTTGGGCTACCAAATAAATCTGGTATGTACATTCATGTACAGGTCTTTGCTTTCACTTCTTTTGGGTAAACACCCAGCTGCGCGATGGCTGGGTCATATACCATAGTAGTTAAGAGATGCCAAACCATTATCCAACTTGATTTTACCATTCTGCCTTCCCACTGACAATATGTGACAATTCCAGTTGCTCCATGTCCTTCCTGATTTGGGATATAGTATTTCTAATTCTAGCCATTCTGGTGAGGGTGCAGTGGTATCTCATTATTGTTTTAATCATTTTTTGAGCTCCAGAACATGCAAAAAGGCAAAGGTCTTGGTGTATTTTGGGAAGGTAACATAGCTTATTTATTTTTTTAAGCATAATTTAACATAAAATTATTCACTACCTTTTACAGCTATTCTTCGGATTTTAAAATATAAAAATATCTCTAGGAAAAAGGAGAGACTTTGCGGAACAGGAGATTAAAGAACAAGTATCCTGTTTTATAATTAAGATCTCAACCCTCTTCTTACAAACTACAAACCATAAAATGCTATCATATATATCACACAAATTAGCCAAATGTTCTACTACACATACTTACATAGTAGATAGCTGAGTATAACCCCAGGAATGTAACTTCCCAGGACTGTAAAAAACGTGCACACGCTGCAGACCAGGAGACAAAACTAGAAAGAATAGAAATAACATTGGACAGTTACGCACAACACTGACATTCTGGAGCACAGGATACACATGCAAGTATATATTGAGAGGTGACCTATCAGGTTATGACAAGTGTTTTTAAAACATCATTCTTCTGCACTTAGGTGTAATGACTGCTGCATTCAACTAGGCTTAGTCTGCTCCAGTGCTTAATAATAATCATTTTGATGGCACAGGAGCTAATTTCTGACACTGATGATAACAATGGCCATTGCTCATGCCCATGTCTGAAGACTAGTATGTCCCAGAAACTCTTTCTATTTAGCCTCTTTTAACAAAAATAAGGCAGCCAGGTAACTAAATCTGCAAGTTCAAACTACCACTATAAGCCCATCAAAATTCATAAAAACAATAAAACATGTTACAGAACTTAGAGGCATCCACACAGATCTAAGGCAATTTACACAGCTGGCAAGCTTCTGGGTTAAATCTATGGCCATTACTATCCTCCCTCCTAACTATATCCACCTTTCAAGTTGACCCCACTCTTAGGTCCCCTAGAAATAAACTGCAAATGAAATGAAAATCCTGTAGCGAAATTCTACAGCAATTTTCCTTCTCTCTGTCATTTACAGTTTAAAAATCTGAGCAGTTTTAAGAAATGAAAAAGCAGCCTAGAAAAAAATCTCCTTAATCCCCATTAGAAACATCAAGACAGAAGCATTTTCCCATAAATTAATTTTCACACTTCAGTCTTAAGCTATCAGCTTTTTGTGTTTATATTTAAACGGTGGTATTAAAATTCAATTGACAAAGAAAATTTATTAAGGAAATTTCCAAAAGACACATGAAGAAGGAATAAATGAATTTGATCAATAATTGATTAAGAGAGAGTGAGCGAGGGCACCTAAATTTAAGGTTAACTGATTTTTATTCTTTGGGAGAAGATTAATAAATTCACTAGTCAAAAGGAAAATTAATGAACTTGTGAAACAAAATTAAGCACTGCTTCTCAAACAGCAAGAGCCCTTGAAAAAAATTGGAATTCTAGAAATGAAATGCAATAGGAAAGGCCATAAAAGTCGAAAGAACAAATAAGTGAATAAAAGCATGACTATATCCAGAATTTAGTTTTATAAAGGGATTTCTTATTATCCCCTAGATTTGCAGCATTATCATCTTAAGCTAATTGACTTGGGCCACATTAATGCAACCTAATGCAGAAGTCTGAAGTTTAGAATCTTCCCAAAATTTGCTTAATCACTTCAGTAAAATAGGCATCAACAATCCATCGTGCCCTCCCACATGGACATCTATTCTAAAAGTTACTTTCAGTGATTTAATAAAATCCAAATACAGCGCTGCCGTGTTAATATGTTCAGAATGTCTCCAAACATAGTTTCTATTATTTAATACCTGTAAAGTAGGGTTGTTTTTTGTTTGTTTGTTTGTTTTGGGTTTTTTTTTGAGACAGAGTCTCACTCTGTTATTCCTGGCTAGAGTGCTATGGTGTCATAGCTCACATCAACCTCAAACTCTTGGGCTGAAGCAATCCTCCTGCCTCAGCCTTCCAAGTACCTGGGACTACAGGTGCCACAATGCCCGGCTAGTTTTTCTATTTGTAGAGACAGGGTCTTGCTCTTGCTCAGCCAGGTCTTGAACCCCTGAGCTCAGATAGTCTATCTGCCTTGGCCTCCCAGAGTGCTAGGATTACAGGCGTGAGCTACCATGCCAGGCCCTGAGAGGGATTTTAAACGCTGACATTTAAACCCATTCCTGGGTCTTCATTCCAACTACAGCTGGAGAGTCAAGAAACGTGGAAGCAACATGCAAACTATCGAGACAGGCGATCAGAGTTCGAGCTGCCTCTACACATCAAATAAAGCAAGCATTTGCCCTGCTCCTTGTAATCCCTTGCCAACCACTCAAGACTTCCTCTTGTTGGTTTTTATCTGAATTAGAAAAATACTTTTTGTTTATATAGTCACTATAAATGTTTTGCCAAAAGTTTTCTTTCTTAAATAAATCAATAAAAATCTCCACTTTTTAGATTGAAAGTGAAACTCAGTTATCTCAGAATATGCCCTCAAAGGACTACTATATTCATTTCATCTCTCATTGACTTCAACACCAGGCTAAATGTGATACCTGAAATTCTTAAGACATTTTTCTTCTTGGTCTAGATGATTAGACCAATCACCATTCATTCTACTTAGTGAGCTAGACAAATACATGTACGTATAAAAAGCAATCCAATTTCAAAATGCTGGGTTGAGGATTCTCTGGTGCTCATACACTGACATTTCTGAACCTTGATCTCAGCGTTTATGGCCTATGTTGCTAGTATATTATATTCAGAATTGGAGAACTCTTATAAGCTGATAAAAAAAGGTTAGCTCATTTTTTTCCCCAAGTACACTGCATATTTTAAAACACACTCTTATACTGGAAAACTTGCCTTGCCAGGGCTCTGCTGTTTAAAAAGAGACATTTCTTGTAGAAATATGCTGAAATTCATCCAGGATTCTGCAATACAGTGGCTGAGTCTAGGTCTTTCATCTGGTTTGGAATTGATAACTTCCCAGCTAAAGAGAGAAAAAAGAAAAAGTAACCCAATTTGAGACGATTCAGTCAATATTCATGACTTCACTGAATACTTAATGAGTTAACACTGTTGACCACACCTTCTGGAAAACCCTGTGCATTTAAAGCATAACTAGCCAGATACTCACTTCAGGAAACTCACATGCCAAGAGAAACAATTAGCTATACAATTAATTACCCAATTATAAGGAAAATGCTGAGAGAGGACAGAGTGAGGGCTTTGGGATATCTTTTCTAAAGTCACTGGTTTGAAATACTTTATTATTATGGGCACATTATAATTGTATCTTTCTAGTGTACATTGGATATTTTGATACAGGCATACAATGTACATTAATCAAATCAGGGTGACTGGGGTATCCATATCACCTTAAAGATTTATCATTCAAGTTTAGGACATTCCAATTCCACTCTTTTGGTTATTTTAAAGTATACCATAACTTTTTGTTGACTATGTTCACTTTGTTGTGCTATCAAACGTTATTTATTTCTGGCTTGGCACCTGTGGCTCAAGCAGCTAAGGCGCCAGCCACGTACACC